CCTCATCCATGATGTAGATGGTGCACACAGGACCATTAGATGATGTCCACGTATTCATTGAGGAGTTTTATCTTTTTTTGTTGTAAAATTCTGTTACATCAGAAATTAGGGAAAGAGACGAAAGGGAGAAAATAAAAATTGACCACATATACTATGTTAGGAACATTAACATGTATGAAGTGTATAACTAGACGGTAAGTTTTAGTGATACAATTGTAAAACTATATTTATTGTGGTGTTCAGAATCTATTATCTTAACCTTTTGAGTTATGTTAGAAAAATAATATTCCTATCTTATTCACCAATTCGAATGAGATCGATAAACGTCAGAAGCCAAATCAGGTTTTAAATCTTCAAAAGTTCAAAAAATGACCCTTGGTTAGTATGAATTGCAACAAATATTTTTTTTTAATCAATAATTTAAACAATAGAATCGTATAGAAATTAGAATTTTACAGCTCTATTTTTTTCTCCTTTAGTTTTCTTTTGATTTGCAAAACCTCATTTCGGCTTAGGGGAGTTGTTGTTGTTATTTGAGAAAAAATTGTAATCGAAGGTCATTTTATCATTTTAAAAATATATAAAACGGACCTACTTATTTTTGGCTGTTGAATTAAGACGAAAGAGGTTCACTGTCTTATTAAATGAAAGTGAAAGAGAGAGTATTCTTGAATCTGATAATTATGTTTTGCATATTCGCCACCTACTAGTTATAAGACGTAAGACTATGATTGATTAGTGTTGACTACTTAAACCGAATATTTCCCCAAGATATTCCTGTCCTTTGGTTCGGAAGTCTTTCTGGGACTTCAAAAGATAGACAAAGGTATCATTTCTGATTCTTCTTTTTTCCCTCTAAGCTTGTTTGGATGGTTGTTACATATTGTATCGTATCATATTATTATTTTAAATACGATATTCATTTTGGTTGTTACTTAAATTTTATTATATCGCATGGTTAAATCTGTCGTTACGTAACGACAAAATGTATCACTTTATTTAACGATCAATTTGGTGTGGTCGCGTCGTTACCTTATCTTTTTCTCTCAATCTCACCCTTCATTATAGTTAAATAATTTTATTTTATCATTTATCCTATATTTTCATATTATAATTTTATCTCGTATCATAATTTTGTCATATTACTGGTGCGTGATATCATGAAACGATGTCAAACGATATAATCTATCACAAACATTGTATTCATCAAACAATCAGTGGCGAAGCCAGAAATGTTTTCAAGGGTGTTCAAACTTGAAAGAAGTAAAAAAAAATTCCGACAAAGGGTGTTCAATATAGGTTTTATATATCTAAAATTAATATTTTACTTATATACACAGTGTAATTTTTCGTAATTTTTCGGGGAAGGGTGGTCAGTTGACCACCCTTTGCTAAAGGTGGGTTCGCCCATGCAAATAATACAATACAATATAACACGATACATTATGAAACGATGTGTAACAACCATAAATTAGTGATTTTAAAGAAAGAGCATTTACATGCTTTACGTTTCCGCCAAAGTTGAAATTAAAAAATTAGAGATGAAAAATTAAGTGCCAGTGTTGCTCCCTATATTAATATTTAATACCGCTAGTCCAAAACCAAATAATTGAGCAATTATCCATTAACTGGTGCATATTGTGATATAGCTCATCATTGGATACCTTTTTGCATATTTTATTGCTATATTAATCTTAATTCGTGTCGCGTCCGTTGCATATTGACCGATGAAAGATAAAACATTTCTTACCGGAAGTTTTTTCATTTTTAAGATTCGAATTTGAAACCTTACTCTTAAAGAGTGGATGAAATCTCATTTATCGTATTATACATGTTAGTGGTCCTTTTCGAATGTTTGTTACTAACTGTGCATAAGATTGCTCCATATATCGACACTTGAATTGAAAGTGACTCAAGAATTCGTATAAACCATGGATTTGATTCATACGTGAAGTTTCCTAAGGACTGTTTGGTCATAGATTTTGCCAAAATATATTTGGATTTTTTTTTTTGGCAAATACATGTTTGGCCATAGATATTATCTATATTTTGGCAAATTCCCAAAACCCAAAACCCAAAACCCAAATCCAGAGCTGGTTTTGGCCCAAAATATCACTGTTACATTTTTTAAGAATTGCCCCAAACTTTTGTATTTTATAAAAGAGCACATCTTTTATTATTTTGTAACAATGCTAGTTCGTTTTCTCGGTCACCTGATAGTGTATTATGTAGTTAATTATAAAAATAATAATTTTGTACCAAATTTATTTATGTTCAGGATTATGGTTTGCGATAATATAACAAATGTTATTGATAAAGGTACTGTTGGGTATTTTTGATAGTTTTTAGAACTTGTGGGTATAAGTAATGTTTCATGTTTTTTTTTAAAAAAAGAGGTGAAATATGTTTTGAAAACTTATGTCCAAAAACATTTTCATCTTCAAACCAAACTTCATCCAAATCAGATTTTTCAAAACAAATTTGAGAATCTATGGCCAAACGCTAGCTTATTGTTTTCAACTTTTCATTATAATAGACTTTTTAGTACTTGTAAAACTCATGTTCAAACAGATAGAGGGACACTTTCGTAGTTTTGACTACATCAATTTTTACCGACCCAAATCAACCACAAAAATAGAAGAATAAGAATTTGAATTTTCTTTAATCTTTGCTAACTCACTGATTTTACTTCTTATAAGTCTGAGAAAAACATACGCAATAAATTATTAAGTTAATTACTTTAATTTTTTTTTTTTGGTTTGTTTTGAAATTAAAGCACTCGAGCTTGGCGTTTTCCTGCAACCTTAAATTTTTTCGAGAAGAATATCAATCAACTAACACTATGGTTTCCACAAAAATTGGAAAATTCTTAGAATCAGTTAGTAACTGTCCAGGTAACACTCAAGAAAAAAGCCAGAACATTAGTTTTTGTCGGTCCCATCCATATATATATATATCTAGTTCTTGAAACTTGATACACCACAAGTTGTATCTGACATTTTAGCCTCTTAATGGTATACTAAGTAAGTACATATTTATGAATATTCTTAGACCAAAACAAGAGATAGATTCATAATTTATACTTTATATGTTCAGATTCGTAATTTACCAGAGCCCATATAATTCAATGGGTTCAAAATTTATTATATATATATTTAATAATTTTTTGGGCAAAAACATATAATATGAGCGAAAACTATGAGTTCAGATGAATCCATAATCTCTACACTTAACATGCTCCTGACAAAACCCATAAAGACTACATCACGTCTTTGTGCAAAAATTTTGATAATAACATTTTTGTAGCAGGAGGCCATGCAAGTTTTAAGGAAAATTGTAAAGCTACTAAATACATTCACCTAAAAATTCAAGAAAGAATGAAAATAATATATATAGAGAATCTAGAAAAAGATTACATGCAGGGCAACATAGTTAAAACAAGTTGCATCTTTTAGAAAGAAGTTACGTCGGGATAAAAACTTGCACAAAATCCAGAAAAGGAATCACATGTAATGTTTGAGCAGAGTTATTATAATCTGATAAAAAACAAATCACATTTTGCAGAAATTTGGCTGCAGGAATGGGAAAAGGGAAAAGGGAAAAGGGAAAAGAAAGGAGAAATACCAAAACAGAACAGGAAGAGAATTCGGTGGTGCATTTGTTGATTTTCGACATGTGTAAGAAATTTTTTCCAATAAACTTTGTTAATTTTTGCGAAATTGTTTTAACCAAACACCATTTGACTCTGAGAAGTGATTGGTTGAAAAAAAAAATTAGAAAGTATCTTTTACAATATTTTAACTCTAGCAGAATCTGACATTAAAAAGTCACTTATTTTTAAAACAAACCTTACCAGTACTTTAAGGGGTCGTTTGGTTATAAGAATAATGTTGAATATGCTGTATTAGTAATGCAAAAATTAATAATGTATGAGTTCATAATGCAAACATTAGTTATGCAGAGATTATTCCTTATCCATTGTTTAGCGTGGTGTATTGAAAATTAAAATACATTACATAATTTTTAAGAAAATTAGTTGTTTACAAAAATATCCTCCATATTCTTTAGCTTGACTTTAAGGATAATTTTGTCTTTAGTCATGCTAATGCATGCATTAATAGCCTTGATATTGTTAATACCGTGGTTTGCTATGTATTAGTTATACATAAGATAATACCAAATAAGTTGTATAACTAATATTTGCATTAGTAATACATATGTTGAAAAATATAGTAATATAAAAAACTAATACATGTATTATTTTATCTAATGCATCCTACCAAACGACCATTAAAAATTATTTAGTAGTAAGAATAGTTGACTAAGTGAATAAATAGTAGACACAAAGATAATAGCGAGATTTAAATAGTATTGGATGAAATATCTCGAGTTTAAGTGAACACAATATTTATAATATAAAATATACAGAAATATATGAAAAATTACAAATATTTCCACAAATGTTTGAATTTGAGTCCATAATTCAAAAGTATAATAATTTTAGTGATAAAAATATAAAGTCTCAACTATCCAATTAAAATATTGGAGAAATTTATACCAGATATTCAAGTGACGAACCAACAAATATTCGATTAATAGAGTGGTTAGCAACTCCCAATCTCGAACCACATGAAGTGTTTTTTTTTTGTTTTCCTTTCCTTTTCACATGCACTTTGTAATTTTGCATATATTGTTGTCCTTGGCATGAAATAAGAATTAAGAAAAAAAAAACAAATTCGCGAAAACTCGTGAGGAAGAGACAAGTTACTGACCTATTTTGTCCTGACTTGGTTCTGATTGAAGCAGCGGTAAATAAGGCCACAACGTGCGAGAGTCCATGTATCTCTGCTGAGTTGTTCCCTTCAAATTTACAGAATTACCCTCAGACGTGGCATACCGCAATTGCTCTATTGACAATGCCACACAAAAAAAGAAGTGATATAAAATAAAAGAAAAAAAAGAGTAGACGACAACACTCCTACGCTTTCTCCAACCCCTCAATCTACTTCAAGGGTCAATTCGTGTTATATATAAGTAGGAAGATATCATCCATCTCTAATCTAATCTACAACAAAACAAAGCACAAGTAACTCTGCATACAAGAAAAAAAGAAGCAGAAAAAATAGATAGGAGTAAGGAGGATTTGAAGTTGTATCTTTTTTGTTGTTGCTTTGGTGGAGTTGCGGGAGTTGAGGACTCACTCTCCGCATTAAGGGATACCCAGGGCTAGGAGAGGAGCCGTTTCTCCTTTGTTTGTTTATATCGTCTGACTATGGATTCGGCTGATCCTGCTCGGGCATTTGTTAAGGACGTCAAACGAATTATTATCAAGGTATATTCTTTATTTTTTTCACTCTGTTTAGTGTATACATTGTATTTGCATGTCTAGTTTGATGGTTGATTTTCCTTTTTTTTTTCCCTTCCTGTTGTCCTCCTTTTGTTGGTTGATGTCCAAATGCCTCTATAAGTAATTTCTTTTTCTTTTGATTTGGTATAGCGGTGGTGTTTGAGTTATGCAATAAGGTAGTTCGGCATGAAGTATCTGATGCTTTCTTTTTTTTTTTGGGTTGAATTTGAATGTTAGATTTCAGTAATAGTGGCCATTAATTCTGCTTCGTTTTTGTTGGTGTTTTTTTTGCTAGATTGGAAAAGGTCCTGATTAGTTTTACTCTTTTTTCAGCTATGTTGCATGTTATCTTTTTTGTTTTGTTTGAATAATCGTGGTTACTTTCCATCATCAAAGGTATCGAATAAAGTCTTAGGCAGTATTTTTGTATTTTTTTGAACCCTGTTTTTTCACGATTTTTTAGTGTTAGAGAACGACCATCTTGCTAATAACTGGGGTTCTAGATGTAAAATTCGTACATATTTAATGAATTTATGAAAACAAATACACTCTTGGAGCATAGACTAGTGCGTTCGAGCGAACCCGCATCCAAGCTTCTAGCTCTGCCTCTGATTACACGTCTGGTGTGTGGGTGGCTCTAGAATAAGGCCACTAAAGCTGCTGCTTTAGGCCCCAAGAGTCAAAGGCCCCCAAAACTTTTTCTAATGATTATAATTATTTATATGTGTAAGGTTTTTTCAAGTTAACAAAACTTTAACATTTCCTTCTTTAGCCAAGAGTCTATCGGAAACAGTTTCAATACACTATAGTGGTTCTAGTTATCAGATATTTTATTAGTAGATATGAGTATTTGAATAATCTAACTCAAAATTTTAAAATATTAGACAATGTTATACTGTGAAATTTTGAAAAGAAAACTTAAAAATTTGTTAAGACCACAATTTTTTTTCTTTGTTATCTAAATTAATCGTGTCTATTTATCCAACCGTTGTCACATTACTAATGCTATTTCCTCACATCTAAATTTTGGCTTTAGGACTCTGGTTTCATTGAGCCGCCCCTAGTCTGGTGTACCATCTTTTTAGTTATCTTTTTCTTAGTCTCTAGTGCTAATACATTTAGTTTTCCTTTTAACAAATTGTTATGTCTTTTCCAAAGGTTGGAACTGCAGTCGTGACTCGAGGTGATGGAAGATTAGCACTTGGAAGAATGGGCTCACTGTGTGAGCAGGTGAATCTTATGCTTGCTCAATTTCCACTAGATTGATTAGATAGTTTCTTTTAATTATATGTTATTATGTTTGCTTACAAACTACTTACAGATTCGGGAACTTACCACCCAAGGCTTTGAAGTTATTTTGGTGACCTCAGGTGCCGTTGGTGTTGGCCGTCAGCGGCTTCGATATAGGAAGCTTATTAATAGCAGGTTTCTGCTTTGTTCTTTCTGTATAAACGATATTCTCTTTGTATTTTAAAATTCCAATTCAAATAGCTTAGCAACCTATTTGTGTTAAATGCAACTTTTGATATCATTGAAAAGTAAGTGTGTGGCTTATGTTAAGTGATACAGGCGAATGAGAACCTCTTACTAAAATGTCAGTAACATGTATAGAGTATTTTATCTCATGGATGCCATCTTTGCCTATTGCATAATTTTTTCCTGATGATACTGAATTGTATCAGCTAGCCAGTGTTGTCAAAGGCGCGCTTATGCCCGGAAGCGAGGCTCAAAACATGTTGAGCGCTTCGCCTGCATCAAGGCTCTAAGGCATACGTTTCCTCGCCAATGAGCGTTATCCTGAAGGCGACACTACACAATTGATATTTCATTTTATCGTAAATATTTTTTTAAATTTTTTTTAGTATGTAGATTTGTTATTCATGCTTATAATTATTGGTCTTGGACTACATATACATATTTTTACTTTTTCTCCCATTGTGCCTTTTTTCATTAAAGCCCACGCTTTATTTGCACTTTGCGCTTAAAGCCCCAACGGGCCTTAGAGCTTTTTTGTGCTTTACGCCTTTGATGACACTGCTGCTAGCTGCCTAAATTATGGATAAAACGTTACAAGTGCAGACACTTGAACCTTTACATCTGATTTCGTGTATTGTTAAATATTGTAATACACTCAATCTATTATCCTCGTCGACGAGAAGCATAAGATAATATTTTACATTTCGGCATTAACAAGATACTACTTTAAAATATCAAGTATGTGTGTTTCATTATTCACATTTCGAATGCAGTTTTCAATGTACTAAATAGCTAAGTGGGCCCTGTAACAGCCCAGAGACCTTTAGCGGTTAATCTCAAAAGAGTGTTCGTTGTGAAACTTGCCGTGGGTAAATTCGACATGGGAATGGGAGGGTATAGTTAGGGGCCGGCCATATAAAGGCGAGTTTAGGATTCAACTATTGAGGTACCTTTTGGGATAAAGCCCAAGGAGACAAAACCATGAGGCCAAAATCCTTGAGGAAGTCAGGCCAAAGCGGATGATATAGCTTCAAAGGCCGTGACATGCCTTACTCTTGTTAGGTTAAGTATATCTAATAAACTGGAAGCCAGCTAATCTGAAACTCTAGTTTATTGAGGTCTAGGTTTGTCAAAAGTATATTTACTAATCATTGGAAAATCTCCATATTTGCAGCTTTGCGGACCTTCAAAAGCCTCAAGGTGATCTTGATGGCAAGGCTTGTGCTGCTGTGGGTCAGAATGGCCTCATGGCTCTGTATGATACGTTATTTAGTCAGGTAAAAGCTTGGTTTTTGGAACTTCTGTGTATATTTGTATGGTGTCATACCTTATTTTGTTTGGCGGAACCATTCCTTCTTTGCTCAAAGGATTGTATAGTGACCTTCCCGCTTTGTGTCTTACCTTCATATAGTTGGATGTAACCTCAGCTCAGCTTATGGTGACTGATAATGACTTTAGAGATCCGGACTTTAGGAGACAACTCAATGAAACTGTAAACTCATTGCTCTGTCTGAAAGTTGTACCTATATTTAACGAGAATGATGCTATCAGCACGCGGAAAGCTCCTTATGAGGTACCATTTCTCTTGTTTTAGTACTGTACTTGCTGTATCTGGTGCTTTCTGTTACAGTCCCTTTGCTAATAATGTTTTATGAGAATAAAACTGCCGACTCTAACTTGTGTCGAGAGTCAAGACCAACCAAAAGTGCAACTCTTAAATTTTTGAAATGTTTGTTCAGCTGTTTCTAGTTTTGATCCTTTGGAACTTGCTTGATTGTTGATATGTCTGAGACCCTGAGTTACATGCATTTTCTTTATCTCTGTTGTTTTTACTTTATTGTTTTGTCACATGAACCCTTTTATTATATTGGTTTCTCTTAAATTTTGGTCCAAAATATCATCTTGATTTTGTTTGGTCTTCAGCCTTTGACATGATATGGTTTTCAATTTTAGCTAGTATCCGTAAGATAATGAGTTTCAATTTTTTCATTTTTGTTCTAGGTTCATGTTTGTCTTAATAGTGACAGTTTTAGCTCTCCTTGCAGGACTCCTCTGGAATCTTTTGGGATAATGACAGTTTGGCAGCTCTACTGGCTCTGGAGCTAAAAGCTGATCTTCTTGTTTTGTTGAGCGACGTAGACGGTCTTTACACTGGCCCTCCAAGTGATCCGCAATCAGAGCTAATTCATACATATGTTAAAGAGAAGCATGAGGGGTTGATTACTTTTGGAGACAAGTCTAGAGTGGGAAGAGGGGGCATGACTGCCAAGGTAAAAGCTGCTGTGTATGCAGCTTATGCTGGCATTCCTGTTGTGATAACCAGGTATGATGTTAATACTAACAGAATTCTGACATTTTTGAACTTTGTGTTCATAAATTGTGTGCGTGTCCTATTAAGATATTTAAGAGAGAGTAGAAAATGCAGCAAAAACAGTTTGTGTCAAAGTTGAACTTTTAGCTTTCAATCAGGGTAGAGAAGCTTGAGGATTTGAGTGTTATGATGTTTTCCAGATATGCACTGATAGACCCCAATATTCATGTTCCTAAAGTTGTAGTTTGATGGTCTAAAAGCTTTAAGATTTCTCTTCTGATCAAGCAGAGATGTTTAAGAAGTTCTAGAGCATTGAAAGCTTCTGCTTGATGCATTGACATATATTCCACACACACAAAAAGAAAAAGAAAACGTGTTGCATTAATTTCATAATAAGTTGGCTCATCCATCCTTGCATTTTTACCATGGACAAGGTGATGCTTCCATCAAATTAGAGACAGATCCATGATTTAAATTTTATGGGTTCAAATTTTTGAGTTTATTGAAAACTTAGGTTAAAAACTGAATATTCATACTGCTGTTTTTCTGGGTTTTTCACATATTTTTCTGTTGTCCATTCCAAACATGATGAGCTCAGATGAACCCACACGCATCAAACATGACAAAGCTTAGCTAGTAAAGTTAACCATGTTGTGAAGAGCTTTATCTTGTTATATGAAGAGGCCTAATGAATCTTTAAAGGTGAGAGTAGAACAGATGCTTGTAATCACATGAGTCGTTCAGGTGAAAAGGAGAACAATTCAGTAACTGGTGGAAGCATATTTCACTTAGCAAAGCATTGTTCTTGAGCCTATTAGATGTAATGTTTTGGTAGCTCACTACTTGTTGCTCCCAATATTTCAACTCCTGCTGATTGTGTGTGTCTCACTCTCTCTCTGTGGAACAAGTGGCTTCGCCAACAACAATATTATTAAAGCACTAGACGGAGAACGTGTTGGCACTCTGTTTCATCGTGAAGCCATTAAATGGGCATCAACAGGGGATATCGATGCTCGCGAGATGGCAGTTTCTGCTAGAGAATGTGCCAGGCGGCTTCAGGTATTGTACATAGAGGCACACATAAATATAAATTGTAGTAGAGCTGCATGGATGCGGCTGCTGACTATTTCTTCCTTTTACTTCAGGCACTCTCTTCTCAAGAAAGGAGTAAAATTTTGCTAGATGTAGCTGATGCACTGGAAGCAAATGAAGAGGAAATCCTGGCTGAAAATGAAGCTGATGTGGCTGCTGCTCAACAAGCTGGATACGAGAAGGCTTTGATATCTCGGTTAGCTTTGAAGCCAGGAAAAGTAAGACATTGCTCACTTATGGTAGATCTAGTCTTGTGTAAATTACACTGAATGTTCATTTACTTATTTTAGTATTCTTGCTGAATTTAATTATAGATTTCAAGTCTTGCAAACTCTGTTCGTGTGCTTGCTAACATGGATGAGCCTATTGGCCGCATTTTAAAGAGAACGGAGGTAAGTAAATCTTGTTTTTCGGGCACTACCTCGTGCCTTTGAACATTATGATTTGACTTGTAAAAAGATGAGGTGAATAAACCAGATACCAATATTTGTACAGTAAATGCTTTTATTGAGATGCGGAACAAAGATCAGTTTGGAGAGTAATCTTGTGAAATAGCTTCTTATGAAATATCTTTCTGCAGTCCTGGACAATGTAGTGGATCAGACAATATAGTGAATGGTGCTAATACATGTGTCAGAGAGGGTTAAAAGAGTGTATCTTCCCCTAAGAGCAGAAATTCCACATCCAACAGAGACTAGCAGCATATTCATAGCAAATAGTATTTGTCCCATTACTTTCATCTATCCCATTCTCTTTATTGTACACTTCTTGAATCGAATCCAGGCAGTGGCTTTCCTGCTAGTTGAAGCTCTCTTTTGGTTGCTTAAAGGCAACCTAGAAGAAGCTACAAATATTATTAGTGAAAAACTAAAGTTTCATTGGTCCTCTGGGTCTTCGTCACTAGTTGCATACCTGAAAATGCTAACAATGTTGCTTTATGGCAATCAAATGGTATAGACAAACCTATTTTTTTACTCTGTTGTGTCTTTAACCAAGAAAAAGCTGGGCCAACTCGTTGAAGTTTTAGGGAATACTGATAAAGAACAACCATTTATGATTAGAGAACTTGATCACTGATTTGTCTTTGAATTCATTTTGGGATGTAATCTTGATTTCTGGAATGTTATTGCCTTATCCAGCTTGCTGACGGAATCATATTGGAGAAGACGTCATCTCCATTGGGCGTTCTCCTGATTATTTTTGAGTCACGACCTGATGCACTTGTACAGGTAAGCAGGGATGGAAAATATTTTACATTCTTTTAATTTTCCGGAAGTTCTACTTTATTTCAGCTATTTGTTCGCTTAAGAGTAGTCTTTTAATTACTAAAACCTATCAGAAAGGGAAAAAAGAACAGAGTGGTTGGGTTTCATGGTACTTGTGCAGCAGCTTGTCTTTTCTTAATTTGGCACCCAGGAGGTGAGGGTGGTCCACTAAAAATATGTTGGAGTCGACGCATTCTTGAGTTGCCTATTCTTGGATTATTACTTCAAAAGCTGACAAACCCTTTTTACACCTTTTTGCTTTGTGGAGCAGATAGCTTCTCTAGCAGTCCGAAGTGGGAATGGCCTCTTGTTGAAAGGAGGAAAGGAGGCCAAAAGATCAAATGCAATTTTACACAAGGTTTAATTGAGAATTTGTCCTCTCAGACCATTTTTCATGGTGTTTCAACTTCCACTTGGTAATGTAAAGCTTTTCACCTGTTCTTCTTTCCTGTTTTGGTTTCCTCCTATTCCAGGTGATTACCTCAGCCGTTCCTCCAAGCGTTGGTGAAAAACTTATTGGGTTAGTGACTTCTAGAGAAGAGATCCCGGAATTGCTTAAGGTACCTTTTTATAAATTGAATGCAAGTGTACATTAGACATGAGTTTGGTTCTGAGTTTTTTCTTCCCTGCTCCAGCTTGATGATGTGATTGATCTTGTTATACCAAGAGGTAGCAATAAACTTGTTTCTCAAATTAAGGCCGCAACAAAAATTCCTGTTCTTGGTCATGCTGGTAACTATATCTTGTCTCAACTATTGATAACTTCTACGTATGCTATGTGCGCAATTTGCTTCTTTGGTAGCAAGACTGCAAAAATGGTGAAGATGCTCTATTTTCTTCCAGATGGTATTTGCCATATTTTCATTGACAAGTCTGCTGACTTGGATATGGCCAAACGTATTGTTTCGGATGCGAAAACAGATTATCCAGCAGCCTGCAATGCAATGGTAACTTGTAATTCTTTGTCCTAATACAATGCACAGTATCAGACTTGTAAGGCATCCATGTTTAACATCTTTTAATTACTTTTCTTTACAGGAAACTCTTCTCGTTCATAAGGATTTGGTGCAAACCGGAGGTCTTAATGACCTGATTCTGGAACTTCAAGAAAAAGGTGAGGCTTCATTGGTAAACTCTTTGTACAATTAAGCTCCTAAATGAGCGCCGCTAGACCACTTAGCTTTAAGCAAGTAATAAGAATCTGATGCCAAGTTTGGCAATAACATTTTTCTTGATGGTTATTCTATAGTAAATTACTTCTTAGTTTTTCTTTTTCTGCTTTAAGTGGCTCTTATTATTAAAAATTCTCATCTATATAGAGCAGTCTGCAGAACATGCATTGTCTATCTCATTTGTTGTTCAGTATGATTTAAGAATTCTTCTAATTTCCTTGTTTAAACTTGCTATTATGTGGATGCAAAACAAATCCTTCCTTTGTCATGTCGGTCTTCTCAAAGCCCATTGTTACTATATTTGTAACTTTACTTATTTGTAGTCTGAGTTCAAGGTACTTCTTCCTCCATCCATTTTTCTCACTGTTTGTAATTCTCTATATGTCATCTTTGCTTTTATAGTTTAGGATGTTTTGACCACCTCTGTTGTCCCACAGTCCAAAAATTCAACTCTTCCCATCCCAAATTAGTTGGTGACATTCATTCATGAAGTGTCTGCTATTTGAATCCTCTGTATCTATTCCACTCTATATAGGTAAATTTCATTCCAATACTAGCAAACGCGGCTGGCATTTTGTCCAATTGTTTGGCCTAAATCATTTGCAGGTGTTTCTTTATTTGGTGGACCTAAAGCAAGCTCCCTACTTAGTATTCCCGAAGCAAATTCCTTCCATCATGAATATGGTGCACTGGCTTGCACTGTCGAAGTTGTTGAAGATGTGAATGCTGCAATAGATCATATACATCGTCACGGGAGGCAAGTTACATTTTCTTAACTATTCAATTTTTATGGTTGTTCTCTTTGCTATTTTCCATGTACTTAATCGAATTTTATTTATTTATTCCAATTGCAAATGCTTATGCGGTACCTCACTTTTTGACAGTGCTCACACTGATAGCATCATTACTGAAGACAAAGAAGTTGCTGAACTCTTTTTACGTCAAGTTGACAGGTATACTCGTCACTGCCTACTCTATTTCGACATTGCTCTGTATGTTTTCATTCATCCTCTTGCACGAGTAGTTTCTTCAAACATGATCAACTAAGAACTTAAAGGATATCACAAGTTACCAAGACGATACACATTGTTGCTACTTACCTCAGCTGTTAATGTGAGTAACACTAATACTAACGGTATTGATATTCTATATGGAATGTTTACTTTTCAGTGCTGCTGTACTTCATAATGCAAGCACAAGATTTAGTGACGGCTTTCGCTTTGGACTTGGTGCTGAGGTATTTAATTGATCAGTAGATCCAGATTGTATGTTGCTATCATTGTTTGACAGTGCAACATAACTTGATTGTTTTTTGGCTGAATAGGTGGGGATTAGTACAAGTCGCATTCATGCTCGTGGTCCAGTTGGAGTTGAGGGATTGCTGACAACTAGATGGTATCATGCTAATAACTCTCTGAATTTAAGTCAAACGACTTCTATATCTTTCTGGCAATTATGCCATTAGATACAAGTAATATCTGGGAAACTCCTCGAGACATAGCCTTGAGGAGAAAACATTGTGTGCCTATTATGTCTCTTTGCATTTCATGTGTATATCTACAGAAGAGAGAGTAAAGTAAAAACGGCGAAATGTCACTTATTCTTATTTGAACAAGTAATTTGTTTAACAAGACATTTTAATGTTATTGAGCATGACTTTTGAGGTGTCAGGTCCAAAGCAATCAATAGGCCTGATTACATAGTATATAGTTATTGATACCAGGAAAGGAGGCGTGATTTGAGTTAATACATAGCTGTTTTTAGTAGGTCTCTAGGAACATGGAGACACAGAATTTTAGTTTCTGCTTGGTATATTAAGATTATGGAAGCCAAACTATCATTACCTTTGCGTGCTATTATCATGTCCTCATCGTAGTATTTTACTGAGGAGTTTGTTTTCTTGTTCCCATTCCCTTGAGCACAAGATATTGTAACTTCCATTTTGCACTTTGAACTGAAATGCCATTTGGAACACTGAAGTAATGGTGTACAATTTTGTTTGTAGGCTTGCAAGGGGATCTGGACAAGTCGTTGATGGTGATAAAGCAATTGTCTACACTCACAAAGACCTTAATCTGGAGGCTTGAGTGGAAATGTGTACAAGTATTATTATTACTATTATTATTATTATTATCCTCCTCTGGATCTTGGAAGATGTGTTGTACACTTGGATTTTGGTAAAGCGCCATTTGATGCTTATCCTGGAATTTTCAAGTGTTTCAGCTGTGGATAGTGAATTGTGATGGCAAGAAAGGACCAGGGCAGGACAACTAGGATTTGCCTTACTGCTGGGCAAAATAATTTTTGTAATTAGCAGAGGTTAATGAAGTTCGTGTGGTAGATTATTACATACATGGTTGCTGTAGTAAACTAGCTGCCAAATTTGTCTCAGTAAGAGCTTTCGATTAGTTATTATTAAAACTTCAAATCTGTAAGCAAGAAAAAATAAAGTTGAGTTTCATTATATATTGTTAATGAAATTGAATACTTTTTTTCATATTTTGGTTTTGTAAGCTCAATTCGAGTTTAACTTATCTATGCTGCCACTGTAAGATCTTTTTATATTTTTAAGTTTCTTGAAAGGTAATTAACCATAACAAATGGAATTAGTAACCAGAAAATTAAAGCAAGTAATCTTTTACAATCTTCAGTTAGTCTGCACGGTGTACTACTGGAGTTTACCACTAAACAGCTCTGCCCCGCTACTCCTCTCACCACCCCCCTCCCAACAACAACACTGACATACCCAGTAATATCCCATATTGTGGGGTCTGGGGAGGGTAGTGTGTACGCAGACCTTACCCCTACCTTGGAGGATAGATAGGTTGTTTTCAATAGACCCTCGGCTCAAGAAAACATAAGCACCACATTAATAAAAATATAGACAAGGGATAGCACCAACGAGCCATATAAAAGCAGAATAAAAACAACAACATAGTAAGGTGATCAACAATGAAAGAAAATAACGGTTAACACAAAAACCTACTACCAACAGAAAGCTATTGTTATGAGCACTCTAGACTACCTATTCTACTACCCTAATCCTCGACCTCTATACCTTCCTATCAAGGGTCATGTCCTCGGTTAGCTGAAGCTGTGCCATGTCTTGCCTAATCACCTCTCTCCGCCTCTTCTTTGGCCTACCTCTACCTCTCCGTAGGCCCTCCAATTTCAATCTCTCACACCTCCTCACCGGGACGTCTGTTCTCCTCCTCCTCACATGACCAAACCACCTAGCCCGCGCTTCCCGCATTTTGTCCTCAATAGGGGTCATACCCACCTTGTCGCGAATAACCTCATTTCTAATCCTATCTAACCTGGTGTGCCCCCATATCCATCTCTACATTCTCATCTCTGCTACCTTCATCTTCTGGACATGAGCGATCTTGACTAGCCAACACTCAGCCCCATACAACATCGTCGGTCTGACCACCACTCTATAGAACTTACCTTTAAGTTTCGGTGGCACCTTTTTGTCACACAAAACACCGGAAGCGAGTCTCCATTTCATCCATACCGCTCCAATACGATGTGTAACATCTTCATCAATCTCTCCATCCCCCTGAATAATAGACCCAAGGTACTTAAAACTTTCTCTCCTAGGGATGGCCTGCGAGTCCAGCCTCACCTCCCCTTCCCCTCCTTGAGTCTCACCACTGAATTTACACTCCAAGTATGCTGCCTTGGTCCTGCTCAACTTGAAACCTTTAGACTCCAGAGTCTGCCTCCATACCTCTAACTGAGCGTTCACACCGCCTCGCATCTCGTCAATCAATACAATATCATCTGCAAATAGCATGCACCGCGACATTTCCCTTGGATATGGCGCGTCAGTACGTCTATCGCTAGGGCAAACAAAAAGGGTTGAGTACCGACCCCTGATGCAACCCCATCATAAGCGAAAAATGATCCGAGTCCCCACCCACCGTCCTCACTCGGGTCTTTGCTCCATCATATATGTCCTTAATCACCCTAACGTACGTAACATGTACACCTCTAGCCTCCAAATATCTCCACAAAACCTCCCTCGGAGCTTTATCGTACGCCTTTTCTAAGTCGATGAACACCATATGCAAGTCCTTCTTCCTCTCCCTTTATTGCTCCATCAATCTCCTAACGAGATGGATAGCTTCAGTAGTCGAACGCCCCGGCATAAATCCGAACTGGTTCTTGAAAATAGACACACTCCTCCTCACCCTTAGCTCTACCACCCTCTCCCAAACTTTCATAGTATGGCTAAGCAGCTTGATACCCCGATAGTTATTGCAATTTTGGATGTCACCCTTGTTCTTGTTTACAGGAACCATCGTGCTCCACCTCCATTCTTCGGGCATCTTCTTCATTCTAAAAATGAAATTAAATAACCTAGTGAGCCACTCCAAGCCTTCCTTGCCTGCACTCTTCCAAAACTCTACCGGATTTTCATTCGGCCCGGTCGCTTTGTCCCTGCTCATCTTACGCATAGCCCCCTCCGCTTCATCAACTCCAATCCGCCTACAATACCCAAAGTCACAACGGCTCCCAGAGAGTTCCAAATCACCTAGTACAATGTTCCTGTCCCTCCTGCTAGTTCAAGAGACTATGGAAGTAGGTATGCCATCTTCGACGGATAAACCCCTCATTATTAACGAAATGATGGGCCTTCAGGCAGTTTAGATGGGATATATGGAAATTCCGGTTTGATTTTTTGATTTTTTGATTGAGGAAATTACAATCCACATTCTATCCAAATAAGATAGGATTGAATAAAATTTTTTAAGTTTGGTTTCAGATTAATGGACTGGACATTTTGAATTTTTGGTTTTGAACCGATAAGTTGAGAACTTGAGATTCTTCGTTCTTCGTACAGAAAAGGAAAATCCAAGTAAAGTATTCATGTCAAATTGACTTAATAGTTCCTCATTCTCACCACAATCATCCAAATGAAGCATTCTTGCAAGCAATAAAACTATTATTAACGAAATACATTAGACACATAAATAAGGCCTTGTATGACCATGCCAAATTAGATTATAATGCAACTTCAGCTTTCAAGGTTCACAAATGCAAAAATAGAAACTGGCGTGGGCAAGAATGAAAAGAACCCTATATTCGAATTAGTAGTGTATCAATATAGAACTTAGGAATTAGTATTGGATATATGAGCTAATGTTTAATGGTCGAGGACTATAGAACTTATTAGTATTCGGCACAAGGAAAATGGGCATCTAATGGATAGGGCTAAATATGAAGTATAAAATTTTCAGATTTTCGGTTATTTAAAAATTTGAAGTCCCAGATCAGAAATCCAATCCAAACCAAAGTTTTTAAAAATTAAGTCAAATATCCAATCCATAATTCGAAACTCCAAACCAAAAATCTAAGAAGTTCTGATTTCAATTTAGTAGGGATACTAGTTGAGTCATAACGCTAGTGGGTAGAGCCGTCAATATGGGCTTGGCCCGTTGGCCAAGCCAGCCAAGCCCAGCCCGTCATTTAGCAGGGCTGGGCTAGAATTTTTGGATCCCATTTAAAAACGAGGCTTTTAAGCCCGGTCCGAATAAGCCCGTGGCCCGTGAGGCTTGACTGAGGCTGGGCTGGGCTGGGCCGTGGGCCTAATAAAAATACGTATTTAAAATATATAAAATATAAAAAGCATATGATACAAAAAATAACAAGAAGAGTATCCCAAATATAGATGTTAATTATTCTTAATATTTAACTAATTAATATTTCATACGAATTGTAGATATAGATGAAAGTGAAGATGTTAAGACAACCTTCTCACAAGCGGATTCAAATGTGTTTGATGAAGATGATGTGTTGGATATCCCATAAGCTTCATGGACGTTCTCTTGAATAGTTATTTTGAGTTTTTACTTTTAATGAATGAAATATAGTCTTGTCTTTTATTTTTTAGTGTTTATTGTGATATATTAGAACCGTATAAAAAGTTATTTTAAAAATATTTATCTTTTTGAAGTATTTATTTACTTTTATTGTGATATATTAGAATCAATATTATCTTTATTTAGTTTAGAACTTAAAGAAAAAATATAAAATTATATTTTGAAAAATGATGGGCCGGCCGATGGAGGCCCGTACTCACATAGGGCTGGGGTGGGCCGACCATTAGAAGACCCATCAAAATGGTGGGCTAGCCCAACCCAACCCGACAATTGCTAAAGCCCACGTGGGTTGGGCTGAGCTAGCCCGGCCCCGCCCATATTGACAGCTCTACTAGTGGGACTGGGAGAAACGTTTTAGATGCAATTCAAGGTGATCACCTAATTGATCTCTCTAATTAGCAATAGATTTTTATTTTACGAAGAAGACACGGAGAATTACACTGGTGACTTTAGTAGTGCCCAAAGTATCTTACACTAAAATATTAAAATCTACTACACTGATGGGTACATCAAAATACATTAAAAGGTCAAATGTTATTTCAATAAGAAGTTAATGTGACTTCTTAGGGTCTCACAATGACGAAACAATTCCATTACCTCCTTTGGACAACAACGCACCTGGCAAGAAACATGCGGTTATGGTGTTCTCACCTTATATTAGTGCGTGCGTTTTATTTTATAAATATCCAAAACCATACAAATCTTGATCTAGACACCACTAGATTTCTAACTCGAGTTTCATACTTTGATGATCCTTGAATCAAAATTCTCGGAAAAACTCCATCTGACTTACAAAATAAGCTATACTAGACCATTTGTCAAGATCGACCTTCACAAATAAACGTGACCTCATACTATCAAACTTGTATTAGGTCTCATCCCTCCACGTTCCTCAAGGTAAAATACAATTGCTTATGTGAGAAAGCCAATCTCAAATTATTCGACAGATTTATCACAAAAAATATCATCACATGCAAATATTAACATAAACCCAACAACAATTTATCAATGAACACGTTATAACAATCAAGACATTTCACAGTACTTAAATTATGGCCATATCCATTGAAAAAAGAAAGTAGCAATAACATGTTTCTCAAATCGGTCTCCAAGTATCGGCTTTGTAGAGGATCCATTATTAATTTTTGCATAAGTATCTATTGTAAAGTAATCCCACAACTTGCTACTATGTTTCTCACGAAGTTATACTTGCTATTAATATGTTTGAACTTGCTGTGATAGTTAGGACCCTTTGTATATACGATAGCCGCTTGACTATAACAATATAAAATCATGGAACCCAGAAAATTCTTTGTAATATCTAAATACTTAAGGAATCTTCTTAGCCAAACAACTTCTTGTACCATAGATGCACAAGCTAGAACCTAGGTACCATAGTCGAAAGGGTCGTGCAAGATTGTTTTTTACCTTTTCATGAAATAGTACCATCATTAAGTATGAAAGCATAGTTGGAGGTCGACTTTTTAATTATATTCGTCACCAGCCCAATATCCCTTCAAGAGAAAATCAGTTACACTCTATCATCGTGAATAATCTACAGTTCTCTTTAGGTAGTGAAAAATTTTCTTTACTGCTTTTCAATGATCACGT